CCCCCCGTCCACCTCCCTCATCCTGATCCTTTTTAAACTTGACTATACAACTGTTTGTAAATGTCCACGTTTAAGGCAGTAATATAACTGACTTCTCATCCCCCTTGAACATTTAAGTTATCGCCAGGTTTTCATTTTTGCAAACATGTTGTGCTAAATATCTTTGTGCATAATAGCTTTCACTAAGGAGTATTTCCTTAGGATGGAGTCACAGAAGTGGAACTGTTGTACTAAAAGACTGAATACATTTTAGAGCTTTGGATGTTTCAGAGGGTGGTGCTCTCATTCTGACTAGGCTTCTGGCAGCTTCTTTAATGAGCCATGTCTCCAGTTCTGTGTGAAGAGAGGAGAAGTGAGAGGGACACCAGCCAGGAGTTGAAGGCTGGGCTCTCTGTGTGGCAGCTCCCAGTGTCCCCTACTAAGTGAGTTCATGAACCTGGTAGGCAGAGTGTTGAAGGCTGGGAGCTACTGCTGCAGGATGGCTCACTGCCCCTTGCCAGACCCCAAGACCCTGCCACAATGTCGTCATTAAGAAGAGAGTGAAGGCAAAACTTGTGGCTGTGATCAAAATAAGCCTCCCCTTCTTTCTCTACCCAAGGGAGGTAGTCAGAAGCTGACACACTTCCTTTTTTTTACTCTGGGTCAGCAGCCCAGGAAGTCCTGGTGCTTTGAAGAAGAGGTCCCTAACTCTTCCTTCACTGACATTTACAGGGAGTCAAAGTAGACACAAGAGACCACAGTGGAGCCACAGCTCGGATGTTGGCTAAGCAGTATGGACACATGAAGATCGTGGCCTTGATGGACACTTACTCACAGAGCTCACCCTCTCTGCCCAAGAGCCTCTGTTGGACCCCAGGTACCTGTGTCTGCCAGCTGCGCTCTGGTTGCCCTGAGTGTTAGGGGCACCAGGAGGGAAAGACGTCCCCTTCTCCCTTCCTGGTTTCCAGAGATTTGGCTATGGCATCCTTGCTGGAGACCATCTCTGCTTCCTCCTACTGACTGCATGTGTATGGGAAAGAGACAGATAGGTGCAGTTTAGAGTGGCCCCTGCATCCAAAAACATGCACAGGAGGCAGGGGATAGGGGGAGTCTCATTTCTAACTTTTTACTTTTCTAGTGATATTTCTTACTGTATATTTTATTAATTTATTAATTTTTATTGACTTTGGATTTTTTTTTTTTGACACAATCTCACTATGTCACCCTCCGTAGAGTGCTATGGCGTCACAGCTCACAGCAACCTCAAACTCTTGGGCTTAAGTGATTCTCTTGCCTCAGCCTCCCAAGTAG